ATACCGATTATACCGGCTAGACAAACAATATTAAACACTTCTCTATCAACATTTAACACTAGCAACTTCAACAACGACATTTAGTGCTCATCATTATTTTTTGACAGAAAATCTAAATTAAACGATTTTACAATAATTGGTGATTTCATTTATTGTCAAAACCGTTTTAATTTGCATCATGTGCCATCGTGTGACACTTTGAGTTTGCTAAAAAAGCTGCCATTTTCACAATTTTTGCACTGTCACAACTACAACGATAACTGCACATAAGCGCAGCCAAAATTAGTCCCGAACAATCGATTTATACTACTGGATGATATAAGTCTTGCGTGTCGTATTTGGTATTTCCCGCATGGTCATTTTTTCTACTATTAAAAATAATTTTGAATTGTTATTAAGTCTATTATTGCTATAAACCTATAGTTTATTAAAGGCTGATAAAGTTGAAAAATAACGGACATTTTTAATACAAAAATAACATTTCTTTGAGTATTTTGTGTCAAAAAATCAGAAGCTTATTAGGTTACCTCTTATTAACTCATTCTCATGATCAAATTGTAATTACATCACTTATCCACCTAAGCTATTTTGACATGGTGACTACTTATACAACGAACACAATAATTAATTTTTTTTTCATATCGTTTAAGGTTATTTGTTTTCCATCCTAATACAATCTTAAACAATTGTGTTAATATAATAATGTGAGTAAATGTATTTGTTCTAATTTTTTGTAATAAATATTTGTAAATAATAACATTGTAATTTTTAATAAAAAAGATCATCAATCTAATTCAATTTTTGCACACATATATGTTCAACGTTAATTGTATACAATGTTATGGTACATGTGGATATATTTGTTTATTATGCTTAGTTATTCAATCAGTCATAATATGTTATTACGTACCTATACTTGTAATCTGTAAATTATATAAAATGTATATTTTCATTAATTAAATTCCTTTCATTAAATTTTGTAGTTTAATATTATAATACAATTTATTTTATCAATCATTCTTCAGTTTAAATTGACAATCATTATTTTATTAAAAAATTTATGTTTATTAGATTAGGATTTTAACGGAATATTATCGGCATTATTTATTTTTAAAAGTAGTGTACTATTGATTATCAATAATTAAGTGTATACTTATTCCTAATCAATACTAGGCATTAGGTACTATAACTAATAGAATATATAATATATATGCATCCGTGAACGTAAAATAATTGCAACTATCAATGTAATTTAGTTTATTGATTTATTTTGAATAAAGTTTTTATATTTCTGATAAATAAATATATCTGATACGTAATTAGAGTAGCTCATGTTGTTCTCTTAAGTTAACCGCACAAACTATACAAAATATAATGTATAATATATAATACCTACTTATGCATAATATACATTGTTCTCAGTTTATTTCAAAATGCATTTAATTGTCAAGATGTTATGCACAATAAAATTTAGACGATAATAACAAATATATTATTTAGGTATAATATCTAATTAAAAAAAAATACATCTAAAACTAATAGTTCAAAATCTTTTGAATTATTTTACTTAATAAAATGAAATCTTGTATATTATTATCTAAAAATTGAATTTAAATACAATTTAATTAGATTAAAAAATTTATACATGTAGTAACTAATTAATTTTGTAGTTCTTTTGTTGATATAATAATAATGTTAATGAACTGAAAATCATCATTTATCAATATACTTCCAACAATTGGAGGATTATTGGGGATTACAGAATTTTAATTAAAACATTATTTATTTTTAAACATTTGTATGAAATGATTATATTTGTTTTAAAGGTTAGTGAATAATTTTTATAGTAGATTAATAGATATTTATATTTTTGATTTGTTGTGTTAAGCGACATGAAAATATTAACATTTATCATGTTCTTCTTTGTTATCATATACCCATTAAACTGAAACTTAAAATAATATTAACTATTCAGTATCTAATCAAAAGTTGTGTAGTGTTAAGGGTTTTAATAAAATATTGTATCTAAAATCTATATTTATATTATATTTTTAATAACAGGTACATTTTAAAGTAGTTTGAAGTTAGAGTTTTGATAAATTTCTTAATTATTTTAGTTAAATTTTATATTTACTATTCAATTGATTTTTTTTCCTGTAAATGGTTTTATTTTTATAGCTCAAACTTAAAAATTGATTAGAAGGTTCATTATAAGTAGTTTATAATAGAACAAATAAACGCTAACAAAAAATTTAAGTATAATTTTTTTTTTGTACACGTTTGAATTCAAATTTGGACGGAATTTGATACGTAAAAGAAAAATAAGGATTTCAGTTATGTTATTAATTTATTTAGAATTTGAAATTTATACATATGTTATTACATTGTTATTATATTTTATATAAACAATGATATTTTCAAAATATTTAGATTAATTTTATCCTATTGTTTGCTTTTGTGGTATGTATACCACGAACCTATTCACACTATTTTGTGATAAGCCGGTTTTGTCTCAAAGGTTAATAACAATAATAAATGATATGAATGTATACTATTATAATAATTAAATATCAATAATAAATTTATATAATAAATGGAATATTTTTTTGCAGTTATAAATTAAATTTACTGTATTACTAATAGTAAAATAAATTATTTTAATAGAAATATATATCAATTATAAAATATATTTAGTAATTTATGCTAACAGACTACCTCTACTCAGAACCGACTTCTGTGTGTAATATTTATCATTGAATTCAAATTTAACACATATTTTTACATTACAGTGACTAATTCAATGGCGAGGTACCTGGAAATCTACTGTATACCAAAACGGTTACAATTCTTCTTTAATAACAATTTTCGATGATTTTAAAACTTTAAACATTATTACCAATAAATCTTATGGTTCATTATACTTATTAAATATTGTATTTTATCCAATTATTAATATTTATTAAAATATTTGTGAGATTTATTGAACATAATCATGCTTTACTCACGTCTTTAACACAAATCTTTCGTTACATAAAGTGATTTCAATTAATAACTAAACGGATGTTAGTATAAAATAATATACTATAGCTAACCTAAATAGTACTAAATAATCCTTATATCGTTTCCAAATTTCCTCGAATAAAATATTTTATAAACTATCGTAACCTGTTGCGTTGCACTAAACTTATGAGTGTGAAAAAAACAACGTACGTTTTGGAGCTTATTGGTTATGTTAAAATTTACAACAGGTGTTTCATCGTCTGTTTTTTTTGGTAGACACTGTTATAGTAGACGATAAAAAGGGCGAAAATTGACGATCGCTACACGAGAGAAAAATCTACATATACCTACTACTGCACCGGAGTAAAACCACTTATAACGTGTTACTGAGTTAAAATGACTATATTTTATAGTGTTGTACATTTTTTAAACCATTTGGATGGCTTACATGCGTACATAAAATATATTATTATTATTTTCCATAATTGCTGACGATCGTCAGTTAGTTTTTTTTATCAAATCTAAGTAGGTATTCAAGTATAATGCACCGTTCTTCATTAATAATATAATAAACAATAATTTATAAGTACCTATATTGTATGTTCCATTTCTACTTTTATCAGTTTTATCACAATATAAGCAATTAAGTAGAACCTAATAACCTCAGAAAATTCCATAATCTCCATCCCCTCTTCCAAAAATATGACTTACATAAAAAAAAAGTGAAAAGATAAAATCTTACTAAAAATAGTCAAATAAATCATTCAAAAGGTTTTTTTTGATTTATTAAAGAACAAATATTTCTTATTTAATAAATTATGACCAAATTAGTGTGGAAAATAGAAATATTTCTTGATAATCCAAGAATTACATATAACTGTATAAGTTAGTAGGTACCTTAAACTTCATTGAAAATTGCACTTAATAACTGTTCCTATAGTATGGTTATTGATAAATTATTAAAAAGTTATTTTTTTAAATAAGCACGTGAAAAGTTGACAATAAACGAGTAATTATATAATTAACAATCGTTTATAAGATTCAGAAGTAGGTATTTAGTAATAATAAAGTGAAAACAAATATTTGATTGAAATTAAATGTAAAAAAATATTAAAATAATTGTTATTTAAAAATGTTTAATTGACAGTGAGAAATTAGTATGGCATTTAATATATTTATAGTACGTGCGTTATTTTTGTTCTTAGCTCTCCCCTCCGCTACAAATAAATAAAGCTCAGACACACCTACGAATTTATATCGATTCGTCATATTGTTATTTTGTTTATAGAATTATTGATTAGTTTTATTTTCTCAACTCGTGTGATTATTTACAACTCTATATTGGTTTTTCCTTCTGCCTTGCTTATTTTTTCTATTTACCTCAATATCACATTTTGAAAGCTTCCAAGAATCTTTTATTCACTTTATCAATAATCCACGTCTTGTTACCGTGTATTTGTATTACATTATATACTTATACCTTCACTATAATATTATCATGAATTCCCGGCATGGGTTTTTATTTTCTCTGTTCACATTTTCTCGAAATAACGATTCAACTATTAATTTATTATTATTATACGCGTCTTCTATTTTCTAACCGACGCCCGACGGTAATGACTGCAATATGTGGTTGTAGAGTAGACATACGGAAGATTTTTTTTTTTTTTTTAGCGCATAAGCGTGGAACTACATGTTTTTCGAATAGCGTTGCCCGGAAAGAATAGCAATAAAAGTCATCCCGTCAACAGTACTAATGTCTATCTATCACATTTATTGTTATTGTTTTATATTTTTATTTATTTATTTTTTTTTTTTTATGCATTCCGTCCGACTCTGTGGGGAAATCCATTTGCCTTTGAAATGTAAACGATAAGAAACCGAGAATCGAGAGACCCGTGTTTACGACGGCACGCGCGGTCCACAACATGAATATTTGATGGCCGGACGGGGACGCGGTCGACCTGCAGTACAGTCGGCGCGGTTGCAACGGGTGTGCACCACGCCGTTTAACGCGGTATACCTACGACGAGACGTATTTCCTCGGTAGGGCCGGCACATTGGTGCAACTGCGGTCCGGCGGCGACGGCGCGCGACGTGCCACCGACATCGACTCCGGGACACCACGTGGGCAACAGTTCTCCGCGTGTCGCCGCCCCGGTGTGTCGCGATTGCCCCGCGCACGAGAGCCGACGGCCCCGTATCACGTTCGGTGGTAACATTTTTTCCAAGTATTATATATTTTCGCTATCGCGGTTAGTTCATGGAAATAAAAGAAAAAAAAAATTAGCCGATCGTTTCGATAATTATAAACTATAGGCAACTCTACCGTTGCACATAGACCGAAACGTTATTATTATCATTATTCGATAGGAGGTTATTACAATACGAACCGTGTGTAGAGAGGGACTTACATGTACCTACAATAACCTAACCGGCTTGGACCGTGTTCTATAGGGGAAAAAAATTAAAATAGAAATGGACCATTGTGATACAAAACCTGACGGAGACGGACACTAGATTGTTGAAATAAAAAGAAATAACAAAAAAAAGGTAAAAACAATCATATTTTGATGATTTTTAGATTTTTATTTTGCTATAAATAATAATACCAATTCGTAACGTACTATATTATATCTACCGTATTTGATAGTGTACCTGATAATGACCTTTATGTAAATAATATACATAATTTTAGATAATATCATGGACCATGGTATACAATATACACATGATGTAATATGGTTGTACTTGGTTGATAAGCAATTTTACGTCACCGAATACTATGTTCGATTTTATAAATCGATAAATAAGTATACTATGTGAAGAAGATTAAAATCTGAATAACGTACTTATGTTTCATTCGTTTTTTGAACATGTTTAAAATTTTGGTTTTCACCTAAAACGATAAATTTATTTTGATTACTACAAATATTACGTCATGTCAGGAAATATACTTTTTTTTCCATTAAATTTATTAGATAAATATAAATAAATTCATATAATATTGGTTAGATTCATTACGATGCCATTTTAGATAATATTAATTATTATTATACAATATAGACGTATTAAATGTATTTGTTATCATTAGATATATATATATATGATTTTAGGTATAAAATAATTTAAAGGTGTTGCTTATTTATTAATTATGATTATAGTAAGCGCTTTTCTTCAATATATTCCAAACGTTGATATAATATTTTAGAGTGAATACAGTACTTTTATTGTATAAAAATCAATTTTGTTATAAGAGTAGGCATTTTTACAGTAAACTGTAAAATGTATCAAATACACGTGTTAACAGTAACACTGAACACCTCGGATCTGAGGAAAATATTTTGGTTACAATACGATTGATAATGTTTTACCTTTTTTGGCATACATTTGAGAACGCTCAAATGGAACAATGAAAATTATAACCTCCGACTTAAAAACACGGTTGTACTATTGAAAATGAAGTTCTGCGCACGTTGCCTATAAATTACATGTATATATTATTACACAGTATACAAAAGTTAAAATAATCAAGCAATATAGAAAAAAATAATGAATTATATTTTAATCCTTCGATATTGATTTCCCACAAGTGTTAAATTTTATTAATCTTTCAGAACATTTATTTTTATTTTACCTCTATACAATTGTATTGTTTTTAAAAATGTTTTTTGTTTAACTAAATATCTGAGTAATGAATTGTAAAACATTGTATTTATATAGATTATAATTATTAGTGGATTCAGTAATATTTTATCTCAAAAAACAATAGGTAGGCAATCATTAAACTTAAAATTTGGATTTTCAAACTATTATGTATTTGACAACGTTGCGTGGAATTATAAAAACTAAGCGTTCTCAATTGTAATAACCATAAAGGTTTCAAAAAGGTATAGAAGATAATGATCGTTTTCAATTGTATTTCTACCAATATTTTATATTTTTGAAAAATTCTTAAGAATAGACATTTCTAATGATTATTTATCTTGATATTTTACAGTTTTTATATAAATGTACGTTTACTAATTTTTCAAACCAATGTAATTATACTTAATGTAAGTATGTTTATATTTGTATAAGGTGGCTTTACAATGATATTTATAGTTTTAATTTTTAATTTTGAAAATCTATGTTCTATAACCATAGTTGATATAGATTGATAGTATGTTTAAATGTTTAAATGTACTATATTTAAAGAAAAAATAAATCAATAATTTTATATGAGTGTTTTAAGTTTGAAACTAAACTACTAATAAAAAATTGCGATCTATAACGTAGATATTGTATTGTTTAATTACGATAACTTTACTATATTATGTATTTTTTTTTGTTGATTTTAAAACATGCAATACAAATTTAAGGATAATTGAACAATATAGTCCTTAAATGACTAAAGCTTTTATAGTCATTACTCATTACTTATTAGTAAACTACTAAATTTTATTAATTTATTTTATGATAACTTTAATAAAAAAAAAAAAAAAAAATGTTTTTTAACCGCTATTGTAGTACTTACACTTCATTTAGAATAATTTAAAAATACCACGATTTATCATCGCATTATTTACATTCATTGTACACTATCTAAATTTATCTTAAATATAATCCGTATAATAAAAGTTATACAGTAATATAATTTTGAAATTTCATTTAACTGTACTTTTCGACTTTTGTTTGTTAAGCTGGAATTTATCTACTAATCTTGAGCCTTAACTTAACGTTTCATAAAATATATCTGAATATGAATAAAAATGCAGTAAACATACCTATAATAATAGCTATATTGCCTGTACTTAACATAATATTATTGTACGTTACATCTTAATTTTTTAATCTATTTTACAATATTTTTAAAATTGTTGGATTTGCATTCTCATGGTATTGTAATTTTGAGTACTAAAGATAGTTAAAATATTTATTTTAATTCAAGTTTTAAACTACTAGGTTTCTAATAATCAATACGGCTACTTATATACAATTTAAAAATAAATATTTTGAATAAAAATTAATATTGTAATTTACAAAATAGTAATCGATCTTTTCAACGTGTTGTATGTATTTTATGTTTATGTATACCTAAAATCTAAATATTATATTATTAACTTGGAAGGAACCCTTGGGCATTATCACATATATGCATCGTTGTACTTGTATTCCCATAAAACATATAGTGCATACATAATAATTTTCACGGATTTATTTACCACAATACCGCATGATTATTATCTATACATATTTATGTACGATACACAAGAATTGAGTACAATAAAAATATGTTGAGCCTATTTTGACAGGCGATCAACTGAAAGAAGAATAACCTTTAAGGACCCTATACAAAAACATTACGCTTGTAGCTAAACGGAAAATGATGTAGGTACATTAACACAAGGAAGTCTATTGAAATTGCTTAAATTTAATTTTGCTCAACAGACAGGAGGAATTAAAAATAAATCCTCATAATAAATATATATTTGACATACATAATAAATCGAACATAATGCCCAGGTAAAAATATTGACAACTTATATGTTTTTTTTTTTAATATATTTATGTATAAATTATAGAATCTATAGAGGTCTATTATCTCGTATATTGTACCTTTATTTAATCAATAGTTTTATATATTTCAAATTTTTTGTCATTGGTATTATGTTTATGTATGATTCATCTATTATATGAATAAAATGATAAATATATTTAATAAATAAGGATAGGATTAATGCTTTTTTTATTAAGTAAATAAATATTTATTAATTTTATACTAGGTACACACATAAACAATACTATACAATTTTTAATGCAACTCGATTTACGACAATAATAATAAAACGATTTAAAAATGTTGTAAATGGTAATTAATAAAAAAAAAAAAATTAAAAATATATAATTTATTCGAAGAGACAATGAAATAAAGATGGACATGTTTATAAAAAATTGTGAGATGATATTTTTGAAATGTTTAAATGTAAAATGTATAATAGCTAATTAATTGTATAACATTAAACTATGAGTTATAGAATTAAAAATTTAACACTTTATTAAAATATAAAATATAAAAAAAAGTAATCAATTAACCTAACTTAACTAATTTCGTTGTGAAGTTAAAATAGCAGAACAAATACCCAATAACTGTTCTTATAATATTTCATACAATTCTTTTTATTTGATTGTTTATGTTTTTATCACCAAATACTTAAAAATATCTTTTCTTGATTAAATTTAAGAATACTGGTAAATAATTAATATCTTATACATTTACTTTTATTTTATTATATACTTTTCTTTAAAGTAAGGACGGTTACTTTAAGCTAATTTCTTTTCTACATCATTGATCTCATATAATCTGCCATGTTCCCAATGATTTGTATCAAAATAAAAACCCTAATTTTGAAACTTAAATCTGATTCAAATAGACATTTATCGTATTATGAACAACAAACACAATTTTAAGAAATTTAAGATTAATTTATATACAGTGTTTTTTATTTTTTAATTAATATACTCGTATATTATAGTGTATTAGCAAATAAAACACTTCAATAATTCAACTGCTAAAAATTGATCAATATAATATAACATAACATGGTAATAGTTTTAAAGATTTACTGTAATTAATGTTTTAAACGCTTATAAAAGAAAATTGTTCGCTAAAGTTTTTGCGGTATTTAAAAAATAAATAATATATAAGATAATAGTTATCTGTATTTCAATCCAACTGAATAAATATAGAGTAGGTAATTTAACAATAATAGTGACGTGATTTGTTTAATAATTTAACTATAGTTGAAACTTTAAACTCTAGTTTCATACATTTATATCATATCAGTTTTCAATTTGTTTTTATAAAGACTGATAAACAATATTTATTCAATAAATAGTTTATTACTATACTGAATTTTTAGGTCTTTGAAATTTAAATTGCCTTAACTAAACAATAAAATCAATCTAAATATTTTAAAAATGTTATTGTGTTAAGAAAATAATAATATACGTATTGGTTAAAAGTTTCAAGTTTCGTATACATTATTTTTTGAATTACAACAAATTAACTAAATATCCAATATTTTAAAATTAAAACGTGAAATAATTGTGCATTTGTATTTTTGATATTTTATGAGTTCCGTAAAAAACTTATGAAAAACCGTGTTATTATATTTTCAAGTCTTAGCTATGAAAGCAAAACTGCATTAATCTTTAACTATAAAATAATATAAAATGTTTCTTGATTTAATGAATTTAAAAAATTTGAACTTCAAACACTTTAAAAAATTGTGACTAGGAATGTATTTTAGTATTTTTTAATTTCTTTATTAAAGGTTACGGCCATTAGTCATACTTAATTTACATTAATGATCTCATCATTTAATATGCTAACAGAATTTAACGAGTTCTATAACTGCATCTCTGCATGTTCCATGTCGGCGTGTGAACGAGTACATAATATTACTAAACTACAATATATATATGACTTTTACAATGTGTCCATGTGGTCTATATAATTGCATAATTGTAACATAATTATAAAAAAAATATGTTTATTATATATATATATATATATATATAAACGTGTGTGTACATGCATATAAGATATATTTTTTATTTTACAGAACAACAGTATACACACAGATGGGGTTCATCACTATTGTCTTACTATATTGCTTGTCAAGTGCAACAGGTCATTTAAATGTATTCATCAGTCAAAAAGAAGTCAAAAGGATTATGGGTTAGTATTTCACTTATTTTAATAAAATAATATGTACCTATTGATATAATGTTTTATTTAATCAAGTTTAGAAACCAGGTATGTAATAATAAAAATTAAAAGATAATATTGAAAGCCTATATTTTGTTTATAATACCATCAAAGTGTATTTTATTTTGATGCTCAGTTCTTATATAATATGATGGGTTATGATTCGCATTCATGTTATGAAACCTATACAAAGGGTTCATAATTATAGTTTATATATTCTTATAAACTAGCCGTTCAATAGATTGACGCATTTAGTTGTGTTGTAGAATAACACGATGAACAATTTGCATAATGATTATTCACTATATAGTTTTTTTAAAAAAAACAAACAATATTATCCGACGTTAAAATAACCTTTTCACCAATATTCATTTTACTTACCACGTTTGTTACCTCAACTCGATTTAAGTTAGTATTGTATTAATTCCTCAGAAAATAAATTATTGTCTTATTACAAAATTATTATTAAATACCTATTAAATATGTATGAATACATATTTTTTCTAGTTAATACCTATAAATGAATGGTGTTTAATATTTTTCATTATACTATTATGTTTACGTGTTTCTTATTTAACCTAAGTAATCATAATATACATTAACCTAAAAAAAAAAATTAGATAGTAAATACTTAAAATTCGATTTCATTGTAAATTTCAATAAATGTTTTTTAAATTTTTGAAAAAAATATTTCATCTAATATATATATTATATTATATTTCTTATAAAATTAAAATTGAGATAATGTTCAATGAATATAATTGTTTAATCAATAAGAGTGCTTAGCTCTAAATTAATTGAAATTCTTACATAATTCTATATTTTATACTATAAAACCTAATTTAAAGTGTTGAAATATTTTCTTTCATTACATGTAAATTTGTTTTATTTGTTTGTGTGGTATTTTCGTTAAAATTACGTTTCGTATTTTCTTTTCTTTTATAACTACATTTCATTTCTAAACGTTTATTTAACAGCACTTCAATCGTGGTTATTCGTTTATTTTCATTTTTATCCTTCTACTGCTTTACTCGCTTCCTTATAAAATATCACAATTTTTATTTTCTAAACGAAGCCGCATGAAAAATGTCTATAGTCGCCTTATTCGAAATTAGATTTTGCCGTCGTCGTTGTCTCCATTAAACTTGGTGGGCGCTGACAAAGAACCCTTTTACACCACTAGCTATAACATCGGGTGTTTGACCTTAAAAAAAATAAAGTGCGTTATTTGAAAGCTCAAAGCTTTTCATGTATAAAACAAGATACCTAATTGGCAACTCCTGTAAGAGGGGAGGTGTTGAGTTATTCGTGAGCCAATCGAAACAATGTAATATTACAAAATTAAACGCTACATAATAAGGATGGAAGTGGGAAAAAGATAAAAGTAAAGTTAAAGTTAATGAAGAATTAGATTATTTTAACTTTTATTCGTTATAAACGAAAAATACCCCTCTTATTTTCATAGCTTCAGAAAATATATATAAGTATTTTATTCACAATTTCTTTAAAAAAAAAAAAAAAATAATAATATTAATTTATTTTTGATGAAAAAGAATAATTATTAATATTGTAAAAATATACTCGTATTATGTTTTTTTAATCTTATAAATAATTCTGTTCAATTTTTTTCTTATGTATCTTAAAAGTTAATGATCTAAAAATTGTTGATAATTTTTAAGTTTCTTTTATTACATGTTGTACATTAATTGGATATTTGTACCAACTATTCTATATATTACAATTTATAAATTTTTAATCATTTTAATGATTAAATATTAATTTACAAACCAATAAGTTAAATACTCTACCTATTAGCTATGTATAAGACATATGTGTATAATAGCGTCCATTTGGATGGTGTTGTAACTTTACACATATTAAAAATAAAAAGTCATCGACTGATGAAGCTCAACAATGCACCTATTTGATGAATGATAAAACATGTACCAATATTGGTGTAAAGTCTAAATTATATATATTATATTCTGTAAATACCTACTAAAAAGTGCACCAAACCTCATACAATTCGTGAATATGTTTTTAACTTCATATAAATGTGAATAGTTAATACTATTATAATTTATTTTATTTATATTTGAGATTTAATTTTAGTACTTTTGTATAAAATTGGTAATTGGTCATATCCTAAAATAATAATAGTACCTATGATTTGTAAATTAAACAATTTCATTTTGGTTAAACTGAAATATTTATCGTGTATAATATTTAAAAAAATTCATTGCTAATATTCAATTATACTTACTTTAATAATATATTCGTATTGAACAAACAGTATATAATGCTATAATATTTTTAATGTTTATGTAACAAATCTTTAAGTCAGAAATTCTTGAATTATCTTGGGCCTACACACTTTATATACTTACGTGTTAATATATATATATATATTATAATGCTTTTAAAAATGACATATAAATAAAAAAATTCGATCTGAAATGGATTCTTAAAATTTATGAGTAGAGTATAAGTCTCAACCTCTATTATATATAAATTATATTTATTTATATGCCTTTTAATATTAAGTCGGCTATTTATTTTATTCTTTTTTCTTCATTTTTGAATAATTATTATCTGTTATTTATAAATTTATTCATATTAGTGTAATTACTTCGTATTTCTTTGCAGCCACCACGAATCAAACTTAAAAGAGGTTTTCATAACTTAATTCCTATTTATATTAATTAATAATTGTATACATTTTAATAGAATAAATAAAAAAAATAAATAAATAAAGTCAATAAATATCCATTTTTAACAACAAATATAATGTTTATAAGTCTTATAGAAATATAGATTATTAAATATATATATGTATAATATACATTGTATATGTAATATATAGATAAGTATGTATATTTGCTAGTATTCGTTCAAATGAATTTAAGCAAAATTATCTTTGGGCATATATAATCAGGTGATTTGTGTACTATGGATAAAATGTAGTAAAATTATTATAGTCACGTTTGCTGTATTAAAATATAATTAACCTATATTCAATTAATTTTACCTCTTTGAACATATTACTGTTATGTTACGTATCCATTGTAGTTAATACTGCGTTTTGTATTAAAGGTCTAAGACTACCTAGTCAATATATACTACGCACGAATCAGATTTAATTTATATATATGTATATTATATTTTCTGGAATAATAATTTTTTAAATGTCACACAATTTTAATTAATGCATAGAACTAATATCAATTTATCAATTTATTAATTTATTAGATATTTTGAAATGTATTGGTTGTAACTTATAAGTAATAACGATACTAATGTAATGTACCTTCATAATTTAATGATGTATTTTTTTTAAACTTTATAAATGAAAGCAAATTAATCCATTGATAATGTATATATGTACACAAAAATCAATAAAAAAAAATACCGGTACATTTATTTTAAACCCATATGTCAAAAACAAATTAAATACATAGTGGTTTTTCCTTCACCCCAGAATCCTAGAATGGCGGAAAACGTCACTTGTTTACAAAGCTATATTGTTTTTTTATTGTTATTATTATTTTGCTAATTGAATCTACAGAGACCCTACTCATGTCCTCCGCAATCTCAATAGTTTGTTTTTGCATCAGAAGGGTTTCTTTATATATATATATATATATATAAATATAAAGAATAATATATATATATATATATATTTAAAAAATAAATATTATTACAGGCTTTTCTGAGAGAGAATTGCAATACTGTTGCCATTCCAGGGGTGGTATATATGCAAAATGCAGCAAGCTATAGGACGATAGTTGAGTGAGAGCGAGAGCGAGAGCGAGAGCTTTTTGGAGTACAGAGCAACAAAAGAATAACAGCGTATTAAACGTTAAAAAGCCCTTAGCCCCGAAGGAATTAATTTTCGTGTGCTGCTTCCGCCTTTTCAATGTAGACTTGCTAACATTAAATATTAACCCTTCGAAAGCTTTTCTCTTTCACTCCTGCTCAGTCTATCTATCTCTCCCCTATTTATTTTTGTGGCATTTTAACAATCTAGAACAATACGATATGACCATTTCTCTTTTTCTTCATCGTTTCATTTTGCATTGTTATTCTACGTTAATGTATTAATTTCAACTGTTTTTTTCTTGATACGCGTTACGAATTATAAAAAAAATTATACCTAATTACAATAAATTAAAATTCATTTTTGCCGTTTTTAATAAATTAATAATCAAATAGGGTGAACGGTTATTAAATTTAATGAAAAAGCGAGGTGGTTCTATTTCTTCTTGTTTCATTACGATTCTTATGATTATTTTTTTTTTTATAAATAAATTATACAATTTTTAAAGCTTTTAATAAGTTAAAGAAAATTTGACAGTTTTTTTTTTTTTTTTACCAAAGGATTATATTATTTCTAACTTTTATTATAATAATATGAATCATTAATATGTCATGTCACCTGTGTCTATTTTATCTGTACTAGAATTATTTATTTTTGATCTCTAAATTCACGTCTTTAATAACCAAATTATAATAGAATAGTACCTATTTATTTTACAGTATAAAAACTATAATATCTTTGGTTATATTAACACTAAGAAGTTAATTCAGAGAAATCCTATGATAAAGATACTTGGAGATATATTTTTTTAATCTTGCTACCTTTTGTATTTTATCTTTTTAAATTCTAAGTGAAGCGATGAATGTATTGATTTTATAATGATGAATCTGTGTGTGTACCTTTTTCTGCCTGTTATCACTTTTTAGGGTAGTAAAAATATTTTGATTTTTAACTTTGGGTGTGGTTTCTGGTAAATAATTAGATTAATTAGGTACATTTGGAGGTAGAAAGTAAAAAAAAATGTCCTAGAAATTTTTTTAATAATTAGGAGAAACAAAACATAAAAACTATTGGAAAATTACAGATTACAAGTATTTTGTAGTAAAAAATTTGTAAAATCTTTCATTTTTTTTTAACTAATGTTTGAAAATTG